TTTTGGGGCCCCCTGGGGGGGGGGGGGGGGGGGGGTTCCCTCTTGTTGGCCCGTCCTTTGGTCGGTGTTTGGCCCTGGGCCCGGCCTCCCTTCCCCCCCGGGGCGGGGCCCCCCGGGTTTTTGCCGGGCCCGGGTTTCCCCTCCCCCGGGGGGAAGGCCCCGGGGGGGGGGGGGGGGGGGCAGTAAGTAGCCTTGGCAGAGTTTTTGGTTCAAGTCAACGTGTTGGATATCAAGCGTGCAATTTGGGAGGTTGGACGAGGAGTCTATTTGGTCACGCCTGGTCTATAGTCTGGGCCGGTTGGGCCCGTCGGGAAGCTTGTTCGGGTTGTTCCGTGAGAGGTCCTGTGTCTTGTGTGGTTTGGTGCTTGTTGGTGTTCGAGTCTGGTTGTGCTCGTCTGGTCCTTGGAGAGTTTTCTTTTTCTTGTGCACGTGGTTTACTTTTTGTGGTGCTTCCTGATTTGTCTGCGAAAGTTCTCCGACGGGGCTCTCCACGTACACCCGTGCACGTGAAGCGTCGTTGCCCGGCGTCTTACCCACCTCACGATGTGCTTAGCGCCTCTCAATAATCGAGCATAGGATGTTGTTAACATCCAGGTTAACATTCCATGCCCACCGTCGGGACAACACCAGCCACTGGGACCGCCGTGGCGCGCAATCTCTTGCGTTACACCAGCTACCCCCTCCCCCCGCTCCCATGTTTTTGTAGAATTTGTTTTCAGGATGTTTTGAGCAAATATGGGTACAATCACAGAAAGACTACAAATACCCATTCGAGATTTATTCATGGTCGAAGGGGACGTGTTCAAGCTCTTTGCAGTGAGAGGCAAAAAAAACGAAATGGCTGGATTGTACCGCGCTTATTGTGTTTCTCGCGTGCGCCCATTTCGGCGCGTCCCTCCGCGCGCGTCGGGTACACACGCCTTAATCTTTCGCCAGGACTCACCCGGCTAGACGCTAACTGGTGCACCAAGCTCCCGGATTGCGCGGTGGAATCGCTGATGGGGTCGTGTTTGGCACTCGAGCACCTGGGGCTAAAGGGTTGCTCGGCGCTTGTATCCCCTACCATTCAGTCGGCTAAGCTCCGGAGCCTGGACTTGTCGCTCTGTGGGAAGCTGGTGAGAAAAAGGAGGGGGGGGGGGGGGGGGTGTTGGCAGAAAGAAAGGAGCAGGAGTAGGGCGGGAGAAGGGAGCGGACAGAGACAGAGAAATAGAGTACGGAGAACCGGGGGAAGTTGCATGGTTCTGGAATTTTCGAGAGGTAAAACAACCACCTGGCAAAGTTGAATTACCGTATCAACAGAGACCATTGCTCGGATCTCTCGCCCCCGACATGTTTTTTTTTTTTGTTTTTTTCTGCTCGGACACAGCCTGGTGTTATCTATCTACCGAAGTTGTTTACAGCACGCGAGACTCATACCGCAAGGGGCGCTCATATATACAATATGGGATGTATAATATTCTCCCAAAAAAGACGGGACATGGAGTATCATACCCGCCCTGCCCAGATGTTGAACGAACATCGCGAGCACGTGAAGCAGTGCTCGGAGAGACGGCACCCCGGAATGCATTTCGACCGATCATCGCAGATCGCGCCTTCAGTCAACGATTAACCCTCAAGGCGCCAGTGCCGACGACGGCTGTGCGGTTTGGTGAGTGTCTCGTCGGGGGGCTTCCCATGCACGCGCCGCGCCGGTCGGGCTCCGCAACCTTACAGCAGTAGCAATCAGGAGTTTTTTACATGAGTGCGGTCGGGTGCATGGGAATGAAGAGAAGAGAGTCCCCAAGACGAAGTGCGTATCGGACGGGGGCAAGGAGAGCGGGAGCGTCAAGCAAAAGCGGCCGCGAAAGAGGTCTGAGTGCGTGCTCTCGATGTGCAAGCGGCCGCCGCAGAAAACAGCCTGAAGCAAAGAGCAACCATGCACCGCCCACCGCGCAGGGACCGTTTCCTGTCGGCAGCGTCCCGCCACCGCTTACCGGCTCGCTAGAGTCTACTTCTGAGCGCAAGCTCGCCGATCCTTTGGGAACGGTTCCGAAAGGATCGGAGAGCTCCGAAGTAGAGTCTTCAAGTTGGAACCTTGGCGGACACTGCCGACAGGAAACGGTCCGAGTCCATGATTGCTTTGGCTTCGGCTGCTGCTGCTGCTGCGGCGGCGGCCGCTTGCTTGCCGCTCCTGCTGTTGCAGCCAGCTGATCCGCTCCTCCCGCAGGCTTGCTAGCGGTGTTCAGCGTCCCGCGCAGACGCGGGCGTTTTGCCCCCGCCTTGCCCTGCTGCTCGATGTTCTTGAACAGAATAGATTGGTCGTCGATCGTCTTGTGCCGTTCATCGTCCGGTGTTGTCTTCCACCGGGCTCGGCGATACGATGCCGTTGTATTCCGGAGGCGTTAGCGGCACCGAAGCCGAAATAGAGTCTCCGATTGCCACATCGCTTGCAGCGGTGTTGTCTGGACCTTCCGCCGCTGGTGATTCCTCTGGATGGCCGGTAGCGATGTACATGCGTGGGGGCTAGAAGTGTGGCCCAAAGAAGCGAGGGAACTATAGCGAAAAGCCCCCTTCGACTGCTGTAGTATTATCTCGAACCGGTATCCGTTCTTCGATTGTATCCATTTTTTCTAGAAAGCTTAAAGAAGAGGCAAGAATCAAGCAGAGTGACTCTTTGCCAACGACACCCAGTGTGATTTGATTTGCACCTATTCGCTGCGATCACCTCGGGGCTGTGTAGAGCTATTATAGTCCGACCACAGACGCACGTTGTTGCTGTTGTTCTCTTACTTTCTTATCGCCGTGTGTATGTACACCATGCAGCCGAAGTCCCACCCAACCCAGACACAAGTGCGACACTGGAACACGGTAACTCCTGAATCTTGCCATGACGTCATAGCACACCTTTTGATAAAATGCCAAAATATTAACCATGGCAACGCACCATCGCACGGCTTCCTCCAAAATACCATAACATGCACCGCTGCGATCGACTTGCTGGTTGGACACACGGCTTCAAGAACGGATCGCGCGCGCGGCATGCGCAGCAGCTGTGTATTATAGTAGCTCCACGTGATACCGGCCCTTTCGTGGCTTATGTTTGATCGTCCGTGTGCTTGCCCTCGCGCTCTTCCTTCTTTTTTGTGGTCGCTTTTTTTCTGGCTCTTGACTGACGCAGACGACATGCAGCATATCGGGCCCCTCGTTGACCACCCTCAAGGTGGCCATGTGCATGGGCCTTAACTCTCTCACCCTGGAGCTGCCCGTTATGATCTCGCTGGACCTGAGCATGCTCGGCGTCAAGAACCTGACCCTGAACTGCAACAAGCTCGTCTACGCCAACCTTCGCGGGAGCTACAAGCTGGAGTCCGCGGTGCGTGTTCGACCCCGCATCCATGAGTTGAGATGGTGGTGGTGTGTGATTGGTGTGTTCGTGTTTGTGTTGGTCGCCGGTGTCTTGTCATCTGACTCCTTTTTTTATATATTTTCATCAATGGTTCTCGCGTTGGCCCCGGGCCGTGTGCTCCACACATTGGATGATAGCGGAATTCGCATCACTGCGATAACGTAGGCAGTTCGTGAACAAACAGCAGCCAACCCATACACGCAGACGCAGAGATACACATGGCACTGGACGCATCGATGCCGACCCCCCCCCCTCGCCGTGCCGTGTTCGCCGCCGTCTGCCCTTACCCCGCGTGTGTGTGTTTTTTTGTCTTCGTGCTGGTGGCGTTGGGGGCCTAAAAAACAGAATATCCAAAGCAGGTGTCCGGGACTCAGTGTGGTGGACCTCTGCGGCACGAAGATCAACCCGGAAGCGTTCGTCCGGTCAGACGGGGAGGGGGAAGGGGACGTTATCCAGGGCGGGGCGCCGTTACCGTGGCACACGTACTGAGAGGGAGTTTTTCGAGACCTTGAGTGGGCAGAGAACGGGACGGCTGCCTGGCTTGTAAAGTTGCCATTCTTGAGATAAAATAAAGCTGCGGTCCATGGCCGGGGAACACCACTTCTTTGGCATCCACGGAAGTGTTTCTTTTGCTGGCGGAGGTCGGAAGAGATCTTCTCTACAAGGGGTGTAGCCTACCTGTTACGGTGTTCGCGGGAGTAAGCAACGCTGCCTTGTTTTTCGTGCGTGGACAGTAGGAGGTAAGTTATCGTAGGAAATAGTGCTACCGCCATGAACTACGGGCTCGGCGTCGACTACTACCGGAAGGTGGAGGTACTATTAGATGTGTTTCTGGGGTCGGTGTGGGGAGCTGGCGAACCAAGCGAGTGGTAATGCCAGTCGGATTAATCAAGATGACTCTAGACCTGCCGGTCACTTTGTTTCCCGCCTGCCCACGCACAAGAAGCACCACCCTCTGTAGTTCGTTTGTTCTTGGTTGTTTGTTGGTGTCAGACAACAATGACGATTGGTCTACCTACAAGCTCTCTTTGCGTGTGTCGCGGTTTTCCAACATCTCGTACCGAGCCTGAGGAGTAAGCAGCCTGTCCGTATGTGTGTGCGTGTGTTTTTTTTTTTTTTAAGGAAAAGCGCGATTGCGTGGAGTGTAGTGCGGTAGTGCGGTTGGCCTATTAGGTGAGTGAGTTTTGACTTGGTGAAAACAGTCCCCCGTTGCTTCCTTCACAGAGAGAGAGAGAGAGACAACTCCCTGGTGGTTGGCAGACAGCAAAAGCCAGACGACGTGGGTACTCCCAAGAATCAGGTGTTGTTTTGATGGGTGATGTGGCACTTCATGCTACCGCCATTCCTTTCGTGTCTATGCAAGTCGGAACGACGGGGAGCCTGTAGTTGTATGTGTGTGAAACTAGAACGCGGATGCGTCCTTCCTTGCTTTGCGTCTCATTTTAACCTTTTTGTGTAGCGACACAGGGTGTCGCCGATGTATTTGTGTGTAGACCGCGCGCAGAGCTTGCGCGTAGAGCTTTGTGCTTCCGCCGGAGGTCGGAGGAACCGGGGAGTTAAACAACTTTTTTACCCGTAGAAAGGGCGATGGGTTTAAAAGTCAAGGTTGGTTTCTCCCTTCCCGCTCGCCTGTTGCCCTTGTTTTGGGTGAATGGGCGTCACGCGGTACCTGTTGTTGCGTGTGCTGTTTTAAGGCCACCTCTGTCGTGCCCGGTACTTGATGAGAAGTACGTACGTCCCAGTTGCTCAGGTGATCACCTCGGAGCCTTCTCAACGTTTGGATCGTGAGTTTGAATCTGGGCGCATCATACGCATACGATTTTTTTTCTTCTTCCTGTCATGTCCAGATAGATGAGCATCACGTGCGTGTCCGTGCGGGGAACGAAGCCAATTAGAGGCTATACACACGAGTGCCCAGAGATAGATGGCAGGTTGAATACCGATTACCACCTGCAGCAGAGGGTTTCTGTGGGAGGACGGGATTGACCTGAAACCGATTTTTTCGTTCGTGCTATCTACCAGAGCCCGCCATGTTTGCGTTGGGTTTACCCTTCAATCGGCAACGACAGGGCCGGCTACCTGTACACGGACGGTGACGTGCAAAGTTTTCACCATGTTGTCAGCTTGTAGACCGTGCTCCCTGATCCTCTGGCCACCTGCGGTAGTACGTAGCATTCCCCGCTACGTGGGAAACCCTCGCGACCTTTTCCATGTAATTTACGGAGGAAATGGTGCGAGCATCGTATTTATTCAGGTCTCGTGGCGAGCGATAGGTTGGAGGGCCCGATGTGTGTCTCTCTACTGGGGTTCTCAAAAACACACGGAGCAAAACGCACGTTCAAGTCTTTTTTGCCCACAATGTACGAAAGAGACGGGGGACACGCATGCATGTTGGCGTGTGTTGGCACGAAACGCGGACGGCCAAGACAATCATTGTCTTGGGTGCATTGGAAACCTACCAGAAGTACTATTAGTACTCAGTCGCATAAGAGAGGAAATCACGGAGCTTTCAACCACATAGGGTATCACCTAGTCACTACAACAAGGAATCCAGCCTAACCCCGCACCGCAACCACTCCACAGTACGTTCGAACCGATGGTAGTCTCGCGATGCATTTGCTCTGGACGTGATGTGCCGTCTTGCATCATAAGCAGCTGAAGATTTTCCCGCATGGAGACACTAAATAACCCGAGGCCGTCTCATGTACGTACGATGTGTTTAGTCTCCATGCCAACAGCTAGATTTCTTCAGCAGAGCACGACGGCCTCCTGCTGCCTGCTTGTGTCACCGGTCCGTCACCGGATCTTTGTGACTGTTTATCCAAGGCATGGCCACCATCAAAAACGAGAGGAACAGTATCCAGGAGCCGTTGAAAAGCCTGAACCACAAAATATTGCCCCTTCCCACGCTGCGCGGCACACGATGTGGGCGAAAAACGGGGGGGGGGGGGCAGAGGAAGTGGGCGGAATTTGTGAAAACAACATCAAATACCACGTTTGAGGGATATCTCAACCACGTCGTCAATGCCAAATGTTCTATAAAAGGTTGACCCTGTTAGCGCGCACGTTCTTAGACATGTGCGCACAACAACGGCTCGGCACAGAAAGGTGGTATTCGGTTCTTCCACACACACCCCTTCAAAAACTCAAACACCTCCAGCATCATGTCGCGCTACAGCAGTATCGAAACAGCTTTTTCCGATATCGCGGATTCGCTCACCATTTTCCCATCCAGGGGCAGTGGTGATCCAATCCGAAGATGCACACCCCGCTGAAGCGAGCGGTGGGGAGCGCGGACAGGGAGCGGGGACAGGGGGAGGGGGAGATAACAGCAAGGTGGTGGTATTGCATGGTGAAAGCGGTGCTTAGACCGGCCGGGAGTGCGTCATGGCCTTACGCTCAAGGAGCATTCCAAGAAGAGCAAGATATTGAGCCCGTGCGGCTCACGGTGTATCTCTGCTGTAGTTACTACGGAGGACGTAGACAAGGAGCAAGACTCACTCCCAACCTGCCGCTACAAGAGATGCGATAGTGCCACCCACGTTGACTGGCATTTCACAGCGATAATGCGACAATGCGAGCCCGCTGGTGGTGGGAGGTTTGCACCTGCTGCCCTTGACAAAACTGCTCAATACTCGGGATGCGGCGCAACTCCATACATACGCCCCGCACACATATTACAACGAGGAAAGTAGGAAGCTACCTGCTCTCCTCCACTCACCACTCTTCACAGTGCTCCGCCCCCTGTGGCCTCCATATGGAGCACTCTTCGCAATACCCGCAACTTGCACCTTCTGATTCGGCAGACTCGACCACTATCCCCGGGTCGGCAACCGCCGTCGCCAGCAAGAACACCACGGTCACCATGGAGCAGGCGACGATAACGGGTTGACACCATGGCGCCACGTTCGGTCCGATGAGGACCCTGACCAGAAACAGGGTGATGACGAAGATCATGCTGATGGTGTAGATAACGCCGGCCCAGTGCGGGCCTACGCTGAGGCCCACGCGGCGGTCTCCGCGCCGCCGACTACGTTCGGGGCAGAGCACATACTGGTGGCCAAACTTTGGTCTCCGCGCCATTTCGCACACGAACGCGAATGGATCGGTTATGGGCTCGAACGGCGCCGGAGTCGCTACTTGGATGCCCCTTGATGGCCGAGACACCGCTCGGTCTCGCGTGTGGTCCTGCTGCTGTTGTTGGCGCTCTCGGACGGTCCCCGAACCGCCAAACGAGCTGCTCTCGATGTCGAAGCGCGATGGCGGTGGTTTCTTGTCCTGCTGCTCAGTCCCATGGTGGTGACTCGCACCTTCGTCATCAAGCAGGGGGAACGCGTCCTCCTTGCAGGCCATGCCGTCCCTGCATGTAGTGCGTGCTGTTGTGGAATGAGATCGGCGTCTGTTCGTCGGTTCACACACACACAGGCTCACCCTTGAATATCAGTAGCAGAATAGACTAGTCTACGTGTGTAGCAGTGTGGCTCCACTTCTCGTTGGGTCTCCTATCCTTCGCGTCAATACTTGTAATTCAGGTTTCTTCGAGAATGCCGCGACAGCACCCAACCAGCAGTTTGACGCTTACCCCTCAGTTCCCCCCGATTTGCTCCTCTGCCCTCGGACTAGCAGGGTTGGCTGCCCAATGGCCACCTGTTCACACCCTGGAGTCAACAAAAACCAAGATAAAGATTCTCACCGCCCTGCGCCCTGCGCGAAAGAAGAACGCGGCGCAATTAACCCTTACGTGACTACACCCCCGAATCGGGCATGTTAGCAGGCACGATAACTCTTATATGCGACAACTTTCGAACCGAATTGAGCTGTGGATACCTGCGTCGACGACGGCTCGACGGTACGACTAGACCGCTCGAAAAGAAACAAAGTAACGACCGGGGACAGAAACAGCACGTCCCCTATACAGAAAATTGAAAGCCTGGGAGTTGCAATGCTCCGCAGCACCCTGCATCCCGCGCTGCTGCTGTGCTGCTGTGGACCTCAGTCCAGCACGCAGAAACGCGATAATGATGCTGTTTTTCCTCCTGCTTGTTGCGATTTTTCGCACGAGCGCTATGGACGGGGTTCCTGTGTATCACGTTCGCAAGGAACAGGAGCTAGCTCCCCAGCCGGCTGCGTTGGGCCAACGGGTACAGCAGCACATCGATGGATCTGCGTCGCGCATCATTTGCAGCACATAATTGACAAGAGGTGGGAGGGTTATGGTCTTGCCCGACCGCGCTGGTGTGTATACCGTAAAGCCGGATGGCCACTGCGGGTTTAGTGCGATGTCCGCGGGTCTGCAGGTTTGCCTCGGTAGAACAAGGGCCGCCCCCACCCCAGAGAACATGAGGAGCGTGGTCGCCCGTCGAGCCACGGAACATGTTCTTGGCGCATCCGGTGTTGAGGACTTGACAGCTGTACTCTCACCAGACCAGCTTGGGCGGGCCCGGAGTGTGCGTATACCGGATGTTTTAGGAGCTGCCGTGGAAGAAATGACGGCGCCGGAGGATAAGACGGTCGGTTGGTTTCGCGAGAAAGCCCAGCTAAGTGCAACAACAAAATGGATTGACGTGACCTGGTTCTCTTTTCTGGCGTCGGAGTACGGGGTGAACATCATGTTGTGGGAGCCAAGCCCCACGTACGGCACAGTTCAGCCGTACTCAGCAGCCCTCACGGCAGGCATGTTCTTGTTCGAGAAAAAAGACAAAATGGACGAGGAGGGGGATCGCTGGGTGCATCTGCTCTATCGGAAACACGACGATCCGTGGGCAGCGCGCGAGGGTGTAGGTGAGGCAGGCCATAAACAGCACAACCACTTCGACCGTCTGCAGCTTGGACTCAACGTACATACTTCCTTCATCGATGTCGTCAGAGTTGCAAAGGAGAAAGCGCTAGGAATGGCGGCGCCGGTGCCGTCGGCGAGCGCCACGGCCGGGAAGAAAGCGCCAGGGTCCGCAAAGGTGGACGGAGAAGAGGTGGACGATCCCGAGTTCAGCATGAGACCAAGCGGCAGCAACAGCAACAAGAGCAGCAGCAGCAGCCGGCAAGCGCAGGGAAAGGCTGCAGCGGGAAAGAAAAGCAAGGCGAAGATCGGGAGTAAGGTCGGGGTGAAGCGACCAACCGAGAGGCAGCCAGGGGACAGCAAGAGGCACAAGGCGGGGGGTGCACCGGGGAAGCAGCGCAAGGCGGTTGGTGTGCCGGGGAAGCGCAAGGCGGGGGGTGCACCAGGGGAGGGGAGGGGTGCCGCAAAGAAATGCAAGAGTACGCCGACGGGTAGGAGGAAATCGGTGAAGAGCAACGGCCAAGTAGACGAAGCCAACTATGATTCCGACGGCAGCATCGGGGGGGGGGACCACGAGCGAAACCCAGGGCTCCTTCGCTAGCATGTCGCAGAACGACAAGAAGGTGGTGGCCGCCATGAAGAAGATCCAGGAGCTCAAGTACAGGCGGGCGTACTTGCTGAGCAACAAGAGGAGGGCGCGGGGTCTAAAGGTGGGTTTGTGTTCGTGTAGACTTTTCTCTTGGCATTTTCCAGGCGAATAGGCGGACCTAAGAGAAGACGACGATTTATGGTGGTGCAAAAGTTGAGTCCGATAAATAGTGCGAATCAATACTGCTGTAGCAGTTTCTTACGTTTTTTTTTTCGCTTGGAATACCGAGTAGAGAGTGCCCTATCAACGCTGAACAAACGCGTGTCTAGGTAGGCACTTTGTTTCGCCTCGTGTGGTCGCTAGTCTCTACCAAAAATAATCTTAGAAGTGTTGGTAAAAAGCACCTGGTTGCTTGCATGATCATGTTGACGCCTCCGTGCCTGGCTCCTGTTGCTCAACACGGGTGTGGTTTCCAATGTTGGCAGGGGGGCAACGAATGTCGAGTTCACGATTCGGAGTATGTAAATGCATGTGCGTGACCTGAACACCCTACTGGCCCTGTATGGTGTTACTTTTGATCGCCGTGTCAGTTTCATGTGAATCTCTCGCTCGCTCGATTCGTAGGTGTTAGTGACACCGTCGCCTCGTACGACTTTATTTTTTTTCGGATGATTGAACACAACACGGCAGGGTATGAATTGACACACCTGCCGCTCTGTTTCCGCTGTTTGCCGACGACGTGCTCAACCCAGCTCAAGGCCATACGCGACAGGGAGAAGGAGAGGCTCAAGAAAGCGGCAGAAAAGGAAAAAAAAAAACAGCTTCGGCCGCGGCAGGAGGTGGAGGAGGAGGAGCGACAAGAGAGAGAGGAGCTAGAGAAGCAGCAGCAGCAGGAGCAGGAGGAGTTGAAAGCTGAGGCGGAGGAGTACCCGGAGGTGGCGTGGACTGACCGCGGCATTCCTGACTTTGCGGGAACGACGGACCACAAGAAGAGAACCCGGCGGCAAGCGGTCAGCGCTGCTTCGCTGTCGGCGTCCGCGCGATCGAAGTTGCCCTCTCTCGATACCTTCATGGGCGGCCGCGACGAGAACGGAGAGTTCCCGCTGAGTGGTTTGATGAAGACGTGCTTCAACATGATGTTCCCCGACAAGGCAGTAGATCTTTTCGTGCAAAAGGTGAGCATTGGTGTTTTCGTGTGGTCGCATTCCTTATTAAGTTGCACTCGAACAACTCACTAGGGGGGTTGCACGCAAGTAAGAGACCGAGCCGTTATGCGTCGGACTTGAAAGTAGTTCCGCGGGAAGGGGGGGAGGGGGGGGGGCGGGATGAATTGTATGCCCTTTGTTGTGTGTTTACACTGCATGATGTCGTCTGCATGCCTTGGTCGCCTAATCATACTGGCCGAATGTAGATCACAGCTCATCAAGATTGTCAAACACACGGGGGTTTATGCGGTGTTCATGCATACTTCCCTCCTGACGTGCTACGTACCAGCGTATCGTGCATGGGGTGGTTTGCAAGGGCGGATGCAATACCGCGGAATGTACTCCCTGTAGAGAAGCACCCTCCCCCCCCCCTATCCAGCGCGCGGGATCCCTGTTATGTATGTTGTAATTTGATTACCGATATCCACCCGACCAACCCAACAATTGAAAGCGGGTACTAGGTAGATGCCTGAGAACACAGTCTGTTGTGGCCCCTTGCGGTATTGCTTACGTTCCAAGACACCCGCGGAAGGCGTATGCGGATTAATTTAATCAAACATGTCTGTGCTGCCACGGCTTGCATCAACAATCATTGTGTATATATACGACACCTCGGCGCGACCTCTGGGGCGAATATGCTAATCTTCGCTCCGTCTTGTTGTCCCTGACCTCTTCCGCGCGAAACGTGATACTTTTCCAGACCAACAAGTACGTGAACCTTTGCACCACACCACCACCCCCCGGAGCTACGGAGAAGCGCAAGGAGCATCAGATGAAGAAGACGAGAACTCTAGGCAGGGTCACCCTGCCGGAACCCGCATTCGAGCGCAAGCACATCTACGGCATGCTGGGCATCACGATCACGATGGGGCTCACCAAGAAAACGCGCATGAGGAAGCACTGGAGTAGATCGTTGCACGACGACTATCCTCTAGTGAGGGCGTGCATGCCGCGTGACTTGTTCGAGCTGTTGTACTGCCGTTTCATCCACTGCTCGGACGGCAACGCTCCTCCTCGATTGTTGGACGAGGACAACACCCCTAACCCGGACTTCGATTCGAAGTGGCACATCAGGTGAGTTTTACCCGTCGGAGACTTCGAGCGTTCTGACTGTTGGACCACGCTCCTCCATTTTTTCATGTGGTGAAATAAAACGGCCTCCAAGCCGGCAAGTACCCTAGAATCCAAATCCAAAGGGTTCATGTCGTTGTACCTGTCGTTGCCCTACACCACCCGCCCTCCCCGGTGGAATACTACCACGTGACCACTACAGTAGCGTACAGTTGTACACCACCCGCCCTCCCCGTGGAATACTACACGTGACCACTACAGTAGCGTACGGTTGGGATGATCATAGCTACGGACTAGCGTGGTTGGTGTGTGTAATCAATAGGCGAGCATTCGTATGTCCGTTCGTGTCCCACGAATGTTCTACAACAGATTAACCAACGCCACACCTCCGTGCTAATCTTGACGTCGCTTCACCGGCAGAGAGCTCGAAGACATCTTGAACACCGCGTGGACGGAAAACATGGACTTCAACCAGTGGCTGTGCTACGACGAGCAGATGGTGAAGACTGTGTCGAGGTACGCGCACTTCCTCATGAGACACCAGCCCAAGAAGCCCATCACCCACGGTACGCGGTTTGTGTTTCGTGTTGTATGGACGATTCCTGCCGACTGTGTGTTTTCCTTGTGACGGCCTTGCGGTGTGAGGGCTCGGCGGCTGGGGACATGGGCGAAGACCTTGTATAGTATTCGGTTTTTAAGGGCCACCATGTGG